GTGTGTGTGTGTGTGTGCGTGCGTGTGTGTGCGTGTGTGTGTGTTTCCTCAGGGATCTTTCCAACAACAGGATTGGCTGTTTCTCTGCAGATATGTTTCTTGACCTTGGCCGTGTCTCCAAACTGTGAGTCTCTCTCTGTGTTTATATATCTTTATTGAGCACAGGGAACTGTCTATCACTAATAACTCATGTTCTAGCTCTGTTTTAATGCTATGAGTTCTGAATTGTGGGATAGGTTTGTGTGTAACGTCTGTATGTGTGTTTTTCAGGAATTTGTCTGGGAATATCTTTTCCACGCTGCCGGGGGGGTTGTTCACACATGTCCCGTCTCTCAGAGCGCTGTAAGATCTCTGCACTGTTTTCTACTGTTTAAAAGAGTCATAATATGAGGAACACTGTACTGTGAAAAGCTACTGGACATATCAGAGCTCAAAAACTTACTTTCCATTCCAAAACGAGCATTTATTGAAGCTAAACTGCAAAAATGATCTATGCACCTTTATGAAGTCACACAAATGAATTGGTTCACACAAGCACACCCACACACATATAAGGTAGCAGAAGTGTTTAAAACATACGAGCACAGTTCAGTTGAGTAATAAAGTTAACTTTATGTTGTTCTGCTGTTTTGTGTTAATCTGCTTCTCCCATTTGCTCTTTTTACATCGACTATCACTCTTTATGGACTAATCAGATTCAGCAATCATTTCTCAAATATTTATTACAATATATACTGATAAACTGAACATTCACTTCAATGGTCTGAGAGACTGGATGCTTTCAACTGATTTCTATTGAACTGTCAGCAACTGAACTGCAGCTCAAACTATTTCAATTATAGTGAATTAAGCTACAAACTCCATCATAATGCACAATGTTTCCATCTAACATGTATTTTGAGCTGCAACTCGTTATTAATAGCCATCAATGCTGTAATTATTTAGCCATCGTCAAGAATGGGCTTAAAACACATCTCTTCCATCTTTATTTGACCCTCTAACTCTAGCACTCTCTATTCTAATTGTGTTTTATCTACTTGTTTTCTATTTATTTATTTGTATAAACAAAACATTTGATCCTTTAACTCGTGCACTCTTTACAATACTTGCTTTCTCCAATACTAACGTTCAGACTTCTTTTTCTATTCTTCTGACGTTTCTTTTTTGGTAAAAAAAAGAGACCCTCTAACTCTAATGTTCTCTATAAGTTTTCTATTATATCTACTTGTTTTCTTTTTATGTATTATAAAAAAAACAACAATAACAACAACAAAACCTTGCTATGTGTACTTTTGATCGGAACTTTGGAGCGGGTTCGTGAATATTTTAATTTAGATCGGAACTTTGGAGCGGGTTTGTGAATCATTTAATTTAGATCAGAACTTTGGAGCGGGTTTGCAAATCATTTAATTTAGATCGGAACTTTGGAGCGGGTTTGCAAATAATTTGATTTAGATCAGAACTTTGGAGCGGGTTTGCAAATCATTTAATTTAGATCGGAACTTTGGAGCGGGTTTGCAAATAATTTGATTTAGATCAGAACTTTGGAGCGGGTTTGCAAATCATTTAATTTA